TACAAGTGTTTCAGTTTATCCCTGAATAATGGTGTGGAGCCATGTTCCCCTAATGCAATGGATCACAGGCGATCACTGTGTGAGTTTTGCTATCCGGCTTCACTTCCGGTTAGCGAGCTACGTTTTGGTTCTTTCCTGTAGCAAAAGAACCACTGCCACACGTTCTAACTATCGAACAACTAAAATGATCATGCTGACTGCAGTCCCAATATGAACGAAAAAGGGATGCGATTGAACAGAGTTAACTTTAGCTAAATGCAGGGTCCGTCTGATGAAAATATCGGAAATGAAAAACGGCTAGATATCTCAATGAGGTGAACTAAATGACTTGACTACGTTTGCATTTTCTAGGCTACTCACAACCACCTCACGAGAATTGGCAAAAGCTGTTACCCTCAAAGGGTGAGATTCTCAACTGATATGAGAATCTATAACACTGCAAAGTGACTTCGGTTTTTGTCACAAGTGAATTGCAGTTACAGCAAGGATCCTAAAATCTACTCAGGTTGTTTTGATAGCAGAATATCTTGGAAAGGTTCTATAACAGCTTGAAAGGATATACGAAAATCTTAAGTTGTTTTCGAGACAAATCAACTTGCACAAGAAATGTGCATATGTTAAAGACAAATGCCTCTATTCATTTACTCTAGATGGCCGTTTTAAAAATTAATTTGCGAAACTGGAACATCCACTATTATCATTCTTAAAGACCCTCTTCGATATCTTTTAAAGAATATATGTTAGAAAACATGCTTTTACAAAACCACTCTTTAGTTTTTAGTTACAAAACGAAAAATGTGCTCTCAGTTTCCCTTGAAATGCAAGGTGTAAGATTTTCGCTCGCATACAGGGAATGGCTCCCAAATGTTTAATGAATCAAGAGTGCCCGAGGGAAATTCAATCGGGATACCAATTTGTTTTTTCTCTTCACAATTGGAATGCTTATTGATTGTTACAGCTATGTTGAATGCATCCCATTTATAAATTTATTCATCATGGTAAATCTTTGTTAATAATCAAGCTCTGGTTTGGGTTTTTTGCTGGAATTCCAAAATTAGCATGTGACTTAAAAAGCGTAATCCGGATATTGCTGCTCCATTACATCTTCTTCATACTAATGACAGTTTCGTTTCCTAAAACAAGTTTCACGGTCACTGCGTTTTCCTTTCTTTGTTCAGTGGTAATTCAGTAAAATCCTATTCAGTTCCACTGTCTTGTTGCCTACTGTTAGGCACTCAATGGATCATTATTATTTTCGCTTGCAAGATTTAACAGACAATCGAACAAAACAATGATACAGCGTCCTCTTTATTCACTGTCTAACAATCTTACTTGAAATAATTTCATTTTAATTCGGAAAAATGTGACTCAGCAGACTGTCTAGCAAGTAAACAGACTGAAAGCGACTAATTGTTTGAGAGTGGCCTGAAATCGTTTCCCTGTCATCTTAACTTTGTACAGATCCACTCGAACAGTTCAACCATTCGAGCGAGAAAAGAAGGCTTTAGTTTCCAATAATGCTCAATCAATCTTCTAAACAGCTGTCACAGAAAACACCACATGGTGGGTGATGTGCAGCTGAGAGTAACTAAATTCTATTGTTTCAAAATATTTGTGCCTTTCCCATTCAAATCACCTATTTCCACGATTCAGTATATTTATGTCACGATAAATATGTTTGCTCTTGAGAGGAAAATTGTCCTAATTAAACAATTTGATGTCATGTAAAATATTCATAAACTAACTAACATTTGAAATGCCGAACTCCGAGGCGGTGTTTGCATGAGCCTACCCAAAGTTTGTTTTTATACTATCATTCCCGTCCGGTGCCGATGTTTTGACTAGTTCAACTCAATCTGTTAGGTTTGTGAGAAACGAAAGAATCCGAAGTTCAAAGCAGAGATTTCCAATGCCTATTTGGATTTAGGTCTAATGACAAGTAACATCCAGTTCTGTTCACCTGAGTGTAAAACTCTTTGAATAGTGTATTGCGCAAGTGTGCTCTGTACAAAATCTCTACCTGCTTCCTTGTCTTATTACAAGTATTTTGAGTGAAGACAAATCATGAGTAGAAAAAGGCTGAATTAGTAGTTATGTTGAAATATTCAAGCAATGGTGAATAGCGTTTTTGTTTCCTTCAATGGTGTGTACATCGGACAGCCGTTCGATTAGTTTATTCATAAGAAGCTTGCACATGATCGATAAGTTTGTTCCAGTAATTAGTAACAGAGGAAGTTAGCATCGGCGCATGCAAGCAGTGTTTGGTGATCTAAATGGCTTCTTTAAAAGATATCTTGAATTGCGTTACTGTTCTGATCGTGTTGGTGCACAATATACACCATTCAAAATCATCAATCCATCCTTATGTGACCTGTGAATGTTGCTCCATCCGTAACCATAATAAAAGTTCATTTGTAAATAAGAATAGCGTATTCACATGTCAGAATCTTCTATTCAACTGATGGAAAATGTACTGTTTACGTAATGAAATTTTGATCTCAAGATCTTTTATCCGTTTTGATAACTTGAGTTCTACAAAGCGCTAAGCTTCACCAAGCGAACTGCATTGGTTTTGTTGTGGAACGTAGAACAATGCAAGTTTCCTTTGATCAGGTTATTTTTACTTGATGCTATGAAGAAAAATTTGACTTAGATCAAACTGGACCTTAAGTATACCCAAGGTTAGTTCGGTGTGCAGCAAATTGAACGATTAGCAATTTTTGTCTGTATTAATTTTTCGTATGTCATTCACCTATTTTTGGTTCACATCTTTCTAGCTGGTCATAATAATAACTGCAACAACCAGGTTTCCTACATTGGATGCATTGAAGCGTTCCACAACTGTCTCACCCGAGTTGTCTTAGTCTTGATTCAAGTGACTCCGTGATAAGTTCGATCCAACCGATCGGCAAAGTGGTTTCAATCATCCACAATGCATACCTCTCATTTTCTTACCATAACCACAATGATCTGCCCAGACTGTTAAACTATTACTTCATCTCATTACCTGAATTTTTTTCACACATCCCCAAGAATAAAACTATAAATCATTGACAATAAATGTTTACTTCTCCACCCTTTTGATGTTGGTAACGAGGCTCCCCTCCAATTGTGTTCACAGATTTGATAAGTGACCATACAGTACTTTAGGCGTATAATCATTGGAACCGGCAATCTAATCCACGCATGAAAACCGTCAATACACATGCGCCAGAAAATGAAATACGGATAGGCATTCCATATTCAGTTGATTCTTATTTTCACGCATTTAAAATGCAACAATATTATTGAATAGGTTCCAATCAACACGGCGTCATAATGGATTGACTAAGTTAACGTGACCTTTAGTACAAAGTGATACCGGCTTTGGTGCGAATGTTTCTTCAAAAGTGTTTGTCTGCAATCTGTTTTGTTAAATTAAGGCAAGATTACTTTCCCTGGGAGAAAAACCACACAATCACATTGTACGTTAACGAGAAACCCTGTGAAGATCTAGTACACAAAACTAATATGGGATTTATTTGGATGGTAGAAGACTACACGAATATAATATTGTCCGAGATATAAAATTTGTATGAGCAGTTTTCTACCGCAAACCTGATTGTGATAGCCATGGCAAAACTGAATTTGACTGTATCCTCTTCTCGTTTGAACCTACTGAACAAAACGTCTATTAAGCGGTGATTGTATCGGTTCCATCTTGGCATTGTCCCAGGTTTTACAGCAAACAAATATTAGAGATAAATGTTTCGGTTAAACTTAACAAATCTTGTATGAAAAATCAGCCGTTGTTCAGAACCACTTCTGTAAACACATTTGTAGAACGAATTTGTCAAATGGTTTTACAAAATTAACACTTTATGGTCACTACGATCAAGCGTTCTTCTAAAATGCTGCGATGAAATACGTTCGAGGCAGATACCTTCAGTGGTCGCGTAATTATCGTGTTCAAATCCTCTATTAAGTGTACCTGCAGTAAGTTAATAGCAGATATATCGACAGGTTTTCGATTTAAATGTATCTAGATTATTTCAGTGAAAACAAGTGAATTGTAAGGGACAATATGGCGATATGTGCAATAATACATTAATTTTTAAACTGATTGGATTATCTGATCATTTTTAGAGAACAATATGCCATTTCATTGCCACGAACAGAAATAAAATCCTCCTACTGTATCGAAAGATTTGTACGATATTAAACAACCTCTAAATCAAATTTCCTTCATCAATGTGGAAATGTCCTTATTTTTGCAACAGAACCATGAATTAGGACTGTTTAGTCGTTTATGTTAAGGTTTCCATAATTTTAGTTACAAATATAAAGAAATGAACTCCAGGAGAATTTAAATTCCCTGTTGCAGACGCAGAATTTACATATATCACTCAACTAAGCATTGGGTACTTATTCAAAATCATTTATATTGTGAATATTTATCGGTCGAGGTGCATGGAGCATTAACTTACCTTTACTTGACTTGTAATTGAGACCGAATAATTGGTAAACGAATACCTGCTGCTAACTACCGGCTCAGTGCATCTTATTGGCTATTTCCTTCAGTACTACCCTGTCCACACATGGATTTGTTTATCAAGGCTGCCTTCAATGAAGCGCTCGTTTAAAATGAGTTCTCATGGATTCGGACGGATGTGGAGTCGTATTCAAACACATCTCACTACATTGTTCTGCAGTTGTATTGGACATCGAGCAGCAAAGCTTGTACTATAAAAAGGTAAATTACAAATATTGTGTTATCTTTCATGTAAAAAGTACATTTTACAGGATTCACTTCACTTGTTCTTTGTACATATGACTGAATCACATTGAAAGCAACAATCTCTGACCTAACCAGAGAGAAAGAAAAATGTATCTTGTTTAGAACACAAATACGTTGGACACAAATGGGCGTAATTATGTTACAAGTTTTCGAGGGCGCACACACGCACACACACACACGTATATAATGTATGTCCAACTGCGTACCAATGCGATTGATGCTATCAAACCTCAACTGGTTCTGTTCGCAATGGGGTTTTACGAACATCCACTGGAATAATAGGCCGACCGTAGGATAAACCAGCCGCTCCCAGACCAGCTAGAACCAGCCGTTTCAAAGCTTTTTTCTCCTGTTTGGGTCGACCGCAATAGATGAGATTGCGGAATGCCTTGCGGAGTTCTTCGGATGCAGAACCGCAAACAAGTGGATTCAAAGCTGTACAAAGAAAGCGAATCCAATAAAACCAGTGAAGCACTAATTGGGGCATAGTATTTCGTGGAAGCCAGGCGTGAACAAGGTGTACAAGAATGAATGGAATCCAGCCACAAACAATAACAGCACAATTTACACCAAACTGATATACAGCTTTCAGCTCTCGTTTGAGACGCGGTTCCGGAGCACTGAACGGTGCATCACTGAAAGAGGCAACAGCGATTGTGTTCGCACTGGATCTTATCAGATTGCTCTGTCCAGTGTCACCATTTTTGTTTTCATTGTTGTTATTGTTATTGTTGGTAGTCGAGGGACCAATCTCAATATCCGCCGTAGTGGTGATTTCTGTGCTGGCCGAATGTTGCATTCGTGGTTGAAGGGGCATCAGAGCACAACGGCGCATTGCACGCAAGCTGGCGAATTCCGAATCAGATTTTCGGGAAAAACTGCGTGACGGAAGCCATTTGGGGGGTTTTAGCAGTGAGGTTGACTGATTATCCACCGAGTTTCTTTTACTAATACTGAATTCGTTATCTTGTGAATCATCTCCATTCAACACACCATACAGTCCACTGCCACTTCGAGATTTGTTTAGGCTTTGCATTGAATTGATTTTTGATTGTCCAGTATGTGTTCCGCCAGAAGCATAAGGAGATTTCCGATCAGGACCAGTCTGTGACTTTTCACCCTTCTTAGTCGGTATGCTGGTGGACATTATGAGAAAACCGCATTTTAAGGTGCTCGGTAAATGGGCAAATATTTCTGAACCACCGTTTTTTGTCTGGTTTTGATTTAATTTCATATAACACGGTTGGCCACCGATGTGAACTCTCATGCTGGAAACCTTTGACTCCTGAGGGGCTGAAGTCGGTGAGCCTTTGGAATTGGAGGAAGATTTCAGCTTGATCAGCTCCTCCTTGTCCTTTATAATCCCGGAATGTTGCTCACGAATGTTCTGAATAACACGTTTACAAACGTTATAATGACTGTACAATACCAGAGTCAATGGTGGACTGAATCCTAGAAGACACCAATAGATTCGAGTAAACGTCCCTGCATTGTGAAGAGAACAGGTCGAAGGAAATGCACCAAAATGGTGATCTGTATAGGCTGGTCTAAGTATAATATACCACTGTGCAAAACCCATCATAGGCAGTGCATTGATCAGCGAAATGACCCAAGGAATGCTAATGAGGATGGTCACTCGTGTATCAGTCAACATTTGATTGTATCGCAGTGCATAGCACACTCCAACGTATTGATCGATAGCAATCACAGTTAAACTGTACATACTGGTGGTTGAGAAGAATATATCCAAAGACAGACCCCAGTGACACACTGCACTCGAAGACAACACTGTCCAGTCGAACAATTCTGTGGCAATAGACCAAGGAATCACAAACAGACCGATAGCCAGGTCGGCACATGCCAAATTAATGAGCAACTTTCGGGTCACATTCAGACGAGAGCGAACACCACGACCCAAACTGAATAGAACAAACGCATTTGCTGTAAGAATCCACAAATCGAGTAGGCAAACCAAACTGGCTAGTGTGATACGTCCAATCCAATTGAGTGTGAATCTATCCGGTCCTGACAAGCTCTGGTTAACCACAGAATCCATCACATGAGGCCACTGAGGAGAACCAATTCATATACCTTTGTAAGACATGTACATCCCAAAACGTAGAAATGAATTCTGAATTCCCCTGTGTGCAGATTTCGCTCATTGGGCTGACATTCATTTTCCACTAACCTGATTGGTTAGAAAAATATGTCCTCAATTATCGCACATATACACACTTTTTTAAGTCAACCAATGAGATTATTGCACATTTATTTTACACTGAAATTACTGTTCATATCACCAATCACGTGTCCCCTCTCAAGTTTACAGAATTGTTTAGTTTGCCGCTATTCATGAATATGAGCAAAGTACCCCGAAATATTAGGGGTATTGAAAATTCAGAATTACCACCAAGAACAAAGCATCAATAAACATCAATAAACAACCGAAAAATAAATAAATATTGGATGTAGCATTGTAAATCTGTAATCTGGTTTTCGCTTGCATTGTGCACATAGTAGTTCCCAAATTACTTTTGTGCCCCTGGAATCCGAATAGACATTTATTGCTCACCCGTACGACGAAATCATGAACAGTATCTATTGATGATGATTCATATTGAGACGAAGAACTCATCTGGATTTAAAAAGGTGCTTGATTGTAATATAGAAGATAATCTGATAGATATATATATTCGGCATCATTATAGATCTATTTTCTGATCAACGGAAGTATGACATCCAGTATTTCCCTATTGCCGTTATTAACTTTAGTCATAACTGAAATGTATTCCTCGTATTTAACCATTTCATAATCTCCCGAGTGGTGGAGGTAAATATCGCAGGACATTTTGCCACAAAGTTGGGCGACCATAATTTTTTTCCAAGAACATTTCTTGTATCAAGCGCTTTACGCCGTAGCGGACCACCTTGAAACAATTTTGACCCTGACTGGCCTAAATGGCATCACTTTTACAATCTTCGGTTCAGTCTGGGGTATCAATCAAGAAGATGCCATTCATCATTGATTCTAGTTTACTCTCTCAACAAAAGTTTTGGCTCTGCGAAACATTCTGCCCTTGTCGTAATTCGTACGATATCCTGATTTAACCGGATTTTGAGCGACAATTATCGAGCCCAATGTTTGACATGCCGAAAGGAAAACGCTTGCACCTGTTGTCGACTGACACACAAGTAATAGTGAATGTGGTCGTTATCATACCTTGCGTGGGCCCCAGTACTGGTGATTACTTCGTACACAACCCAAGAATCGCTAACCTAAAGTTCCCCAATGCATTAGAAAACGATCTGATGTGATCTATTTGTAAGTCAATCCTGAACTATCTAGGATGGTGAACATACGGAATTAATTTATTGGTGGGACAAAATCGGATTCCGGAACATCGGAATGGAATTCTCGCAGTGAATTTCCTTTGAGCGACACAAGGATTGATTGACGCTCAATTACTTTTTGACCATGACTTCGATTAAATCGCACCAGCTTATGGGTTGTTTCTGGTGGTTAGACATATTGATCCGCTAATGGAAGGTGTTACCAGACACTAAAGCAAAATTGTAACGAACTCCTATGATCACGATAGTGGCATTATATACAACGTTGAAGTTAGCTGTTACCACAGCGTATGCTATATTACTATAATCTATTTCCCTTCAGGCGTTTTCGGGCAATGAATAGACACCACGACAGCAGATCTCAAGTAGTCTCAGGTGCACAGAATTAGACTCACCGCAAGAGATTGTTTCCTCGTCGTTGATATATATCCTTTCAAAGTCTTTTGAATAATAATCGCTCATTTAAGCCAAATGAAATAGTTGGATACAATCGAGGTCAGTAACTGATGGGAATCAGACAAAGACTAAATGTAGGCTATTACAAGCATGTTCTCACCGCATAGTCACCACATTTGTGGGTAGGAGTAAAACTGACAGTTCACTCAGTCAGTCTATGCGTAAACAATGGGGTTCACTTATTGCTGAAAGAAGATTCGTCCAGAGATAGACAGAACTGTGGGAACAGCTGATCCAAATTACGGAATTAGAGGTTTGTGGATGGCGGTGTTTGCTTCGGGTGACATCGCATAGCCTCATATACTGTGTTCGAACACCACCATCACCATAACCATCACCAACACCATCACTGGCAACAACGACGAGCAACCAACCTTCTTTATCACTGCATTTTCATTGGTGCCCACTTTATTGACCTTTTTCTTCTACTTGAAAATCCCTCTAGTGCTGAATTACATCCCGTACCAAAGTTATTGCACCCCACCTAGAATTTTCGATTGTCTCGGTTCCCACATACATGATCATCAGCCTTTTGGAAGAATTGACATGACCACCAAAGGAAAAAGTGAAATGAAAAATGCAGTTTCGTGCAAATGCTTTTTTCGGTTACTCATCAACTGGTTAAAACAGCACATTTTATATCGCATCATTTGTATAGAAAACAGGAAACAAAAATAATGATTATTCAGCTGGTGATTTTTGTTGCCGTTTTCTGGGTTATTAGAAGAAAGTAATTAGATCCTGCGAAACCCAACCAACCCTGAAACACATCTACACAATTTTACCTCCATGAAGTTAGATAAATTGTTGATGGATGTTTTGTCTCTAGGACCTCAGTTTTGTTGTCCAATCGGGAAAACTAAACAATTGGATCTGGAAGTAGAGTTCGAAAACCTTTCCTCACAACTCTCAGATTTATCACAATCTTCATCGTAAAATGTGGGTCAGCTGAAATCCGCACTAGTGAACACCTGCTATTAAGTTCTCGGTAGCAAACAGGGGATCAAACATCTAGTGACGCAACAACAACACGAACGGGTAAAGGTATTGCAGAATAATCATGATGTAATTCTGTGCAAACAAGACAAGGGTACGGGAGTTGTCCCACTAAACAGATCTGACTACGTGCCCAAGATGAATAACATACTCAAGGACAACACAAAGTTCAAGAAGATGACCGCAGAAAAAAACTGTCAAAGATAATCGAAATTCTAAAGCAAAAGGGTGTCAAAGATGCAAACATGTTCGAACTAATCCGACCGATTGGAACCACTATATCAAGGTTGTTTGGTTTACCTAAAATACGCAAATATGGAATACCCCTCAGACCAATTTTAGACGTGTAATTCCCCATATCATGCAATAGCCAAATGGCTTGCGACAATTTTGGATTCACTGAGAGCCACTCTTGCAGCCAACAGTTTACCGGACTCTTTCACCTTGATAGATGTAACCAGAATCGTCATTGTGGATGACCAATGAATGATGTCCATGAAAGTTAACTCACTTTTCACTAAAGTTCATATCGTAGAGACTATTGAGCATTTATGTGACCAAATCCAAGAAAATAGTATCGAAATTGCAATACCCCTGGAAGACTTGAAACAGATATTGCACTTCTGCATACAGAACGTCCAGTTTAGGTCGAATGAGGAAATAGATCGCCAAAAGGATGGTATCGCAATGGGATCCTCGCCCGGTCCTCTATTTGTGGATTTATTCATGTTCAAGCTACAAAATGTTGTTTTGAAGTCTACGATTAAGCGATGTAAGCTGTACAGTCGATATGTCCATTATATTATGTTTTGTGGAAAGTAACGTCAAGGTTTCCAATTTGCTCAGGATATTTAATTCTGCTCATCCAACCATCAAGTTTACATTGGAAGAAGAGGTATCTCTATTTCAGAAGCTCTATGCAACTCAAACGAAGAAGAAATCTTATTCAGTGTTTGGTAAACTGGGCGGTGAAAATATGCACCAATGTTACCATGAATACGGGACTATCACAAATTTGTGACGTTTTCCTACATAATGGTTATCCAGAGCGTTTTGTGGATAACGTTCTACGAAATAACCGTTCGAGGAAAAGACTATTAGACGCAGAAGAGAAACCAGTATACATTTCTCTCCCATTCGAATGGGATATAAACGCGGAGTGTTTGCCGAAAATTAAGAACTGCGTTGGTGAATACTATTCACGCGGCAAAATTACGATTCATGTTCACATCCAGACCGATCTTGTTTTCGCAACTCAAAGACAGGATTCCTACTTCTTCAGTCTCATTTTGTCTATACCGGTGTACGTGTTCCTGTGAAGCAACGCATGAGCAGGTACCTATCTAAACGAGTTCAGGAACATCATCTGGTCTGGTTGAACACGGGTGTCATTAAAACTATTACAAGTGCCATCGTCTCACACCTCTTTGAGTCCGATCACACAGTGAGTGTGACTGAAGCATTTCGGCCTATCTACTCTGTTCGGGGTCGTAGATCAAAGCCGTTTAAAAACCGCATCCTAACCACCGCAGGGACGGTTGGAATTCGTCTACATAATCCCGCTTTGTGCGCCCAAACAAAATTTGTGAAATCACTCAACCACCTCCCATGGCCCTCCACCTGCCATCCTCACCCACCTCCTCCTCCCCTCCCAATCCCATCTCATACGCACACACACAAGTAACACGGACCAAGCGTAGGTTCCGATGGCAGGATCAGCTATATGCGGTTTTGTAACATTGAGACAGAAAACAGCAACAACAACCCCATTTGAATAGTTATTAATTTTGTTTCATTTTTTTTCTATACAAAATGATGTGATATAAAATGTGACGTATTAGCCAAATCATGAGCCACCGAAAAAGCATGTTTGCTAAACTTTATTTTTCATTCAATGTGTGTCGTCGGTGTATTCCGGAAATGAAAAGCTGAAATACGAAATACATCAAATTAAATTTTACCAGTGTACCTTGAAATAACCTATTTTCACCGGGACAAATGTATTACATCCCCCATGGACTGCAGTGACCGGAACCAACTCAATACTCTGTTTAAGATTTCGATTCATATCAATTACGATATTATTCTGGGCCCTAGAAGACAATGCCTCTATTTCGTGTTCTTCTCGTGTGTTAATTCTGAAGTCTTGCTACACCTTGTGGATAAGAATGATCCAGATGTTTTCTTTTGGCTTCAAACATGGGCTACAAGCAGGCCACACTCTTTTTTGATGCTGCAAAATAAATAGCCACC